TCTCTTCTCTTCTCTTCTCTTCTCTTCTCTTCTCTTCTCTTCTCTTCCTATTCCTATTCCTATTCCTATTCTATTCTATTCTATTCATTTCTAATCTTTGTTATTCTTCTCTGAACTTTCTAAATAGTTTACGGTTTTTAAAACTGAAATTCACACCTCGAGGTAGAAATAATGGCTCGGATCCCCAGAACTCTCTTTAAGATTGGTGAGAAATGGTGTTTCTGTCCAGTGAAGTCACATGTATATAATCATAAGTTCCAGATCAGCTGCAAAAGTCCAAAAGGCATATAAATTGTGCCTGTTAATAGGGCCAAATTATTCCTATTTAGAAAAGGGGATTAGCTAAGGAATGGTTAGATTAATTGATTCTTTTTTTAAAAAAAATGTGTCTTTAGAATGACTGCTTCTATGAAGGGTATATCCAAGGCTTCCCCAATTCTGTGGCAATACTCAGCATCTGCTCTGGCCTCAGGTAAGAGAGTTACTTTTGAAAATAGGTACAGGCTTAAAAAATAGGTCCCGACCTTTCTTTCTTTGCAGCTCATAGTTGCTTCAGAAATGGGAATAATGGTGTGGAGTGCCAGATTAGCTGTGGGCCCGATCAGGGGTGGGATTCTACTGGTTCAGACCGGTTCTGTGGAACCGGTTGTTACGATTCTGTGCAGTTCGGAGAAATGGCAAATATTGCCCCTGGCTGGCCCCGCCCCTCTCCACCCACGCCTTCCCTCACCACCCAGTCAGTCCTTATTGTGCATGCGCAACATTGTGTGTGTTAGGCATCTAGAAATTGTCCACGGTAATAAATCACTCTGAGACAAGTATAATCTCCAACTGATTTATTAGGAACAGCTCTGGTACTTCTATGGCATTTCCAAAAGTGAAAGTCATTTTCAGCACGTTTCACAAGTATAATCTCCAACTGATCTATTAGGAACAGCTCTGGTACTTCTATGGCATTTCCAAAAGTGAAAGTCATTTTCAGCACATTTCACAAGTATAATCTCCAACTGATCTATTAGGAACAGCTCTGGTACTTCTATGGCATTTCTAAAAGTGAAAGTCATTTTCAGCACGTTTCACAAAACCCACTTTCTCTCCTCCCACTACACTTCATTAATCACAAGAACCAATTAACTGCAGCTGGAATTTTTTAATGCAACATACAGAAGAACCTTGAACTTTTCAACTCCTCCTCCCCGCTTCCTTTCATGGCAGCTGAATCTCAGAGTGCATCTCAGTGCATGCCTGGCATCGCTGACTGCATTCTCCCCCGCCCATTCAGTCCTTAAGGTATTTCTTTTTTTTCCCCCTCTTCCCAACAGTCAGCTGTTCCGATGATCAGCTGTGCCTGGATTCACCTCTCTGTCTTACTGCTTTCCTCAGGAGGCTTCCCTGAGGCCCAGGAGGCAAAAAAAAAACCTGGGGGGGGGGCACTGCAAGAGAAGAAGAAGAAGCCACGCCCACAAGTCACATAGCCACCTAACCACACCCACAGAACCGGTTGTTAAAAAATGTGAATCCCACCCTTGGTCCCAATCCAATGTACACTGTCACTTTGAATGTACACTAATCGTCATACATTAAAATGAAATTTCATGGCATCCAATTCTCAAAGTGTCACCACCTCTAATATGCCCTACATAAACATGACAAAATAAATACATACAAAAATTATGCACATACCCACATATATTATATGACACAGCGAAACAACACAGTCTAGTTCAGATGTATACATAAAGATGGTGGAGGAAAAAGGAATCCCGTGTATTTATAAGATGGATGGCATAAGGAACAAAGTTGCTACGTTATCTAGTAGACCTACTATAAGTACTTCAAAAACCCCTCCCAGAGGGGAGCAACAGAAGCAGACCATGAAGTGGGTGTGTGGGGTCTCTAACAATGCTTAGCGAGCTCTAAGCACATAGCAGTATTCTGAATAATGGGAAGTGAGCTTCCTGTAATATTCTCAGTTGTCCTCACCACTCTCTGTAGGGACTTTCTATCTGAGGCACTGCTGCCACCAAACCAAACAGGGACGCAATTTGTTAAAATGCTCTCAATTGTGCCTCTGTAAAAAGTGGCCAGGACATGCAATACCTCCAGGGTCACGTCATCAAGATTTGGGCATCACGCAACTGCCATTTGTAACCATTCTGGCTGGGTTCTGACAAGCACAGACAATGGCGGAAGCTAGTTTCCTTTTTTTAACGATTCACTTAAGAATGACAATGACCTGCTCAACAACTCTAACAACTAGCCTAGCAAATGCCTCACTCGGGAACAAAAATTTGGGACTCAATTGTGATCATCAGTAGAGTTACTACCTGTATTTCATGATGAATAAACTCCTGGGAAAAAAGGCAGGCTGGGGGTTTGTCAATGGATAAGAAAATCTCGTGCTATAACAATGTGGACATTTTCAGGGGCGTGATACAGTTTGAGAATGTCAGCTACGGCATTGAGCACCTGGAATCTTCAACTACCTTTGAGCACCTAATTTATGAACTAAACAGCGAAAACGCCAAAGGCCCAATTTGGACAGAAAATGTCACCCATGTAGACAACCGAACGAAGACACGACATGTATCTTATAAGCTGCTTTCGGATACTGTGGTCAGTGCTGTGCTTCATTTCCTTTTCAAAGCAGTCTTTAAAAGGGTTTATCCTGCTTATGTACTAGGCTTATAGCTTATCCACCTGCCGAAGTTCTCAAGATGGTTTCAGCATTAGATGGTTCCATACAGAGGTGATATTCAGCTGGTTCTGGAGAGCCAATAGTGGAAATTTGGAGTAGTTCAGAAAACCAGCAAATACCACCTCTGACTGGCCCCGCCCCCATCGTTTCTCTGCCTCCCGAGTCCCAGCTGATTGGCTGGGTCTCCTTTGGTTGCCCTGCACAGGAGAATGGAGCTGGAAAGCAGGTTAGTGGGGTGGGGAGGGAATGGGGATTTTGCAGTAACCTTCCTCTACCACGCCCAAGCTACGCCCACCAAGCCACACCCACAAAGTCATGCCCACCAAGCTATGCTCACAGAACCGGTAATTAAAAAAAAAACACGAATCCCATACCATAGGGCTGTGCAAAGCAGTTGAAAGAGGTCCATTGCAAAAGCCACTGGCCAAAACAGAGCGTTTCCCTTTGAAGTGTTAAAGCAGCCGTGTCTTCTTTAAAACTTGTTCTATTCCTTTGAAGGCATTCTTCTGTTGTCTGTGGAAAGTAATACCAAAGGAGCTGGACTTTCTGGTTTTTTTCTTCAGCTTCTTCAGCTCTGGCTGGATGGTGAGGAAAGGAAGGATTTATATTCCTTGCAGACAGCTGGTCATTTGCCTCCTTTCAGAGGGTCACTGAGGCCACCTGGAGGTTTGTTTATCTGTGTCCTCAGGGTCATTCCAGTGAACAGCCTTTGAATGGTGTGGGAGTAGAAACTGAGGAAAAAATTGCAGACAAGGAGCACCACTCAGGTGACCCTGAGACATAGGTAAACCTCCAAGTGGCCTCAACGACCCTCAGAAAGGATGCAAATGACCAGCTGTCTGCAAGGAGTATAAATCCTTCCCTTCCCCACCATCTAGTCAGAGCTGAAGAAGCTTCTTGGGTGAGAAGCACAAAAGAAAGGCCGGTTGCCTCCTGAAAAAAGCACCTTCGGGACAACCTTGATCTGGATGACTGAGAATCTCTACAGACTTTTAGCTGTGGCAAGTAATGCCTGCACAAAGAACATTTTATAGGAACAACCATCAAAGTGAAACAGGACAGACACACAGACAAGGAGGGACAGTTTTCACAGGGAATTTGTCAGCTTCCAAAGGCCACTTTAACAATTTGAGGAGGGGACATTTGCTTGGGCCAATGCGCTGTATACAATGCCCATTTTAAATTGCTGCAAGTTAAACAAAACTCGGTTGTTGTTGTTTTTAAATGGCAACATTGCCAAAAGCAATTCCTCCCTCCTTGTTGTTGCCTGCAACTGGGATTTGGACAGGGGTGGGCTTCAAAATTTTTAGCCGCAGGTTCTCTGTCCGATTACTGGGTGGGCGTGGCCATGGTGGTGCTCCTTGTCTGCAATGGCCTAGTTGACCTCCTGCACCGTGACGAGGGGAGGGGGGCATTTTTGCTCTTCCCCAGGCTCCGGTGGCTCTCTGCAAAAGCCCCCATTTCCCGCCTTCCTGAACTTTCAGGAGGCCCGTTTTTCGTCCTCCCCACAGAAAGAATTGGAATTTACTTTGGGATTGGTTCATGTGATGAGATGATGAGTAAAAAAAAAATGGGATGGTTTGTAGGTTGGGATAATGTGGGAAGTCCGGGGAAACTTTTAGTTTCGGAATTCCACAGAATGTGCCTGGTGCTATTCTAATAAAAGTACCTTGAGATTATGTTTGTCTTGGAGTTACTGACAGGAATGGATTTTCCCTGGGATGCTGACATCCGTACTGCTAAGGAAAATACATTTTGCATGCTGCTAGAATTGTGTAGAGTTGCTGGTGAAATGCAGAAGCATTGCTAAAAAATGGATTTTATTTATTTTTGTCCATCCTCAGCCGCTGTCAGATACCACTAAAAGTCACAGGTACATTGAAGTCTACGCTGTTGTGGACAAGGTTTTGGTAAGTCTCTTAACCGTCCCAAATATCTCCAAATTCTCTAAGCGTCCCCATCCTTTGTGACTTAGTGTCATAGTTGGTACTAATTTATTTGATTTGTGGTGGCTGTTGCATTGTCTAATAAATTCAGTGTGGATATTAATTAAAGCAGTGGTAGTCAACCTGGTCCCTAGCGCCCACTAGTGGGTCTTCCAGCTTTCATGGTGGGCGGTAGGGGTTTTGTCCACCATTACTGTGGAACTGGTGGGCGGTTAGCGAAAATTTTACTAACAGAGATACGGGCGGTAAGTATAAAAAGGTTGACTACCCCTGAACTAAAGCGTGTCGTTGTGATGAACTGGGAGCCCAGCTCTGATCTAAGCCCCCTTTTGCTTTGAATGCAGGTTTTGCATGCAAGTAATAATTGTCTTTTTAAAAAATAAATAAATAAATTGCGAACTGTGTATCAACTTTGTGTTTTTCAGTTCAACTATTTGGGCGGAAATCCTGAATATGTAACTTCAAACATTGTGCAGATTATCGGCTTTGTGAATAGTGTAAGTTATGGTTCTGGTTTCCTCTCCAATTAACTTCGGGTCTGGCTGCATTTTATTCTTCATCCTGTTTGATGTAGAACTGTCGATATGAGCCGCGATGGCGCAGTGGTTAGAGGGCAGTACTGCAGGCTATTTCTCCTGCCTGCCAGCTGCCTGCAATTTAGCAGTTCAAATCTCACCAGGCTCAAGGTTGACTCGGCCTTCCATCCTTCCCAGGTGGGTCAAATGAGGACCCGGATTGTTGGGGGCAAGAGGCTGACTCTGTAAACCACTTAGAGAGGGCTGTAAAAGCACGGTGAAGCAGTAAATAAGTCTAAGTGCTATTGCTATATTGCCAAAATAATTCCAAGCATTAAATGCTAGAGATATGCATTCAATAAATATATAAATAAAATAAAATAAAATAGAGAAAGAGTGCAGAGAAGAGCAACAAAGATGATTAGGGGACCGGAGGCTAAAACATATAAAGAACGGTTGCTAGAATTGGTTATGTCTAGTTTGGTGAAAAGAAGGACTAGGGGTGACATGATAGCAGTGTTCCAATATTTGAGGGACCTCCACAAAGAAGAGAGAGGTCAACCTATTTTCCAAACTCTAGAAAAAGTACAGAGGAGAACAACCAGGATGATTAAGGGACTGGAGACTAAAACATACGATGAATGGTTGCAGGAACCGGACCTTGGCTAGTCTAGTGAAGAGAAGGACCGGGGGAGACAGGATAGCAGCCTTTCAATATTTGAAGGGCTGCCACAGAGAGGAGGAGGGGGTCGAGCTATTTTCTAAAGCACCCCAAGGCCAGAAGAAATAATGAATGGAAACTGATCAAGAAGAGATTGAACCTGGAAATAAGGAGAAACTTTTTGACGGTGAGAACAATCGACCCGTGGAACAGAAGTTGCCCTCGGAAGTTGTGGGAGCATCATCACTTGAGCCTTTCAAGAAGAGATTGGACTGCCATTTGTCAGACATGTTCTAGGGTCTCCTGCTTGGGCGGGGGGTTGGACTAGATGACCTACAAGGTTCCTTCCAACTCTGATTATCTGTTATCTGTAAAGCACCTGAAGGCAGGACAAGAAGCACCAGATGAAAGCTTATCAAGGAGAGAAGCAGCTTGGAATTAAGGCGAAATTTCCTGACATTTAGAACAATTAACCAGTGTAACTACTCACCTCCAGAAATTGTGAATGCTCCATCCAACCCTGGACGTTTTTGAGAAGAGATTGGGCAGCCATTTGTCTGAAATGGTGTAGGGTTTCCTGCCTAAGCAGGGGGTTGGACTAGAAGACCTCCAAGGTCCTTTTCAACTCTGTTATTCTGTTCTGTTATTCTGCTATTCTCTTATTCTGATTAACTTAACTCCTGCTGCAGTCTGATTTTATCGCCGACTCTGTTCTTCAATGTACAATTGAAATCTTTGTTTTTTGGGGGGAATTGATGCTAAATCTAGTTTAACCATGAGAAGAGCTGAACCTGTTTTTAATTAATTAACGTTCCAAATTGTGGAGAATTGCTTTAACGAAAAGAAGATTTATTCTTTTCTTTTCAGATGTTTGCCGACGTTAATGTAACAGTTGTACTTTCCTCTTTGGAGTTCTGGACAGACAGTAATAAAATCTCGACCGAAGGAGAAGCTGATGAAATTCTCCGGAGGTTTTTGCAATGGAAAAATTCATACCTTGTTCTGCGACCTCACGATCTGGCCTTTTTCTTCATGTAAGCGGAAAGACATTAAATGCCAATCCTGTTTTTCCTTTTGATGTCCTTGGTGGTAAAGTATTTATGGTCTTTTTGCGGGGGAAATAGGTGCTTGTAAATACACGCAGCAAAGAGTTTGGGAAATGTGCTTTTTAAAAAGAACATTTTTAATCATTGTCTCTAAATCCAGGTTTACAAGAAGTAATAGCTGCACATACAAAACATGATGTGGCCAAACCAGTACATCATGTGGTGTTTTGTCATGAAGGCCTAGTTCATATTGATATCTGTCTGTCTGTCTGTCTGTCTCTCTCTCTCTCTCTCTCTCTCTCTTTCTCCCTTCATCTGTCTGTCCATATCTCTATCTATCTATCTATCTATCTATCTATCTATCTATCTATCTATCTATCTATCTATCTATCTATCTTATTATCTGTCTGTATCTATCTCTGTCTATATCTGTCTGTCTATCTATCTATCTATCTATCTATCTATCTATCTATCTATCTATCTATCTATCTATCTATCTATCTATCTATCTTATTATCTGTCTGTATCTATCTCTGTCTGTCTGTCTATCTATCTATCTATCTATCTATCTATCTATCTATCTATCTATCTATCTATCTATCTATCTATCTTATTATCTGTCTGTATCTATCTCTGTCTATCTATCTATCTATCTATCTATCTATCTATCTATCTATCTATCTATCTATCTATCTATCTATCTATCTTTCTTATTATCTGTCTGTATCTATCTCTGTCAGTCTCTCTCTCTCTCTCTCTCTCATCTGTCTATCTCTGTCTGTCTGTCTCTACCTGTCTACCTATCTACCTACCTGTCTACCTACCTACCCATCCATCCATCCATCCATCCATCCATTTATTTATCCTCTTCTCTTTGCCTTGTGCTGCAGGTTCAGAGAGAAGCCAAATTACGTGGGAGCAGCTTTTACTGGAAAATTGTGCCTCCGAAATTTTGATGCAGCCGTAGCTATGGTACCATATCACAGGTTTTACTGCAGGGTTAAACATTTGATCTGGGGTTGGTTTGGGTTAAGACGTCAGCACTAGATAATAAAAGATACCAGATTTAGACGCTAGCAAAAACAACAACAACAAGAACGACATAAAATAAGAATTCCCCTGAATTCATCCTTGTTCAGGAAGTCCTTGGCTTGTGTCCATTCATCCAGCGGTCATTTAAACTGACACCAATACTGAATAAATGGATGTGTGACCAATTCTTGTAGTACCAGCTGTTGTAGCACTTGTGAGGTAATTGTTGTGGTTCGCTGGCAGCCTGTGCAGAGGGCAGCAGAATCGGACAGTGGGGAAGAACGGGGACCAGTCCCGGACTCTGGAGAGGACTCGGACGAGGGTCCTGCATCTGATGCAGAGATGGGGCCAGGACTATCTGGGAGTGGGGTGCTGCCTCCAGGCAGAGGACCCAAGGGAGCCTGTTCCCAGTGTGCGTGTGCGCAGAACTGCTAGAAGGCGAGAGCAGCTGAAACAAAAGGACCGACTTGCGAACAAGGCTGGGAGGTGAATTCCCCTCCCATAAGGTATAAAGGACAGGCCAAGATGATGAAACCTTTGCAGGAAGCAAAGTCGTTCGTTCGGTTTAGATTCATTCTTGAAGCTCTTTCTACTTCGGTTGGTTTTTGTTCTAGTTTATTTGACACTTCTGTCATTGGCAGCATTTCACGGGGAAGAAAGGTGGGTGCTTATCTCGAGGGACCTTTTGAGATTAATTACCCGGCTGGGAATGAAAATAACTTCCCCGTGGCGCAATAAAACAAGACTTGTTTTTAAAATAAGCGTGTGTATAATTACGGTCTTGGAAGCTTTGGTCAGAACAGTCATGTGATCATGATCCGGCAGTTCCAGTGCCCTCTTTGGGATCATGACATTGCACGAGAACTAAAGAAGCTTCTTGGCTGAGAAGTGAAAGGTTTTCAAAGAAAAAAAAATCAAAATAAAAAACTCTAGTCGCACCTTTGGGAATCACTAAAGAGTAGGGTGACTCAGTGGATGAAAAAAAAAAGGAGAAATGAGTTCAGGAGGGGAACCATTTCAACACCACGAATCCTCTTTAATTATCCTTTGTGGCCATGGATCACCCACGGCAACTCGATTTAAATCATAACATTTCTTCGTGCCTTTGCAAAACAACATTGTGGTGCCGCAACCCCCCCCCCCCACAGGGGCCCCTGGACCACAGGTAGAGGACCATTGCTCTAATTCAATGTAGAATATGACTTTCAGGTTTATAAAACCAACATAAAACTGAAGCGGAACATCATGGACCCATATATAACTTGCTGTTGTCTTAGTGAAATTGTTATGGCCTGTCAGCCACTGGCCCCTCCAGTAGCCAAATCAGAGAAGGAGGAGGAGTGGGAGTTGTTAGGAATAACAAGGTTACCTAACGTAGTTTGGGTAAAATAATATATATAAACTATGATAGCAAGTTTAAGTGTGTGTCACTTTAAACTGCAAAGCATGTAATTTTGGGTACGGTGCGAAACCGCCATAAGAGGGAGCAAGAGAACCTGATGATTCCTGACGATTGCTGGTTTGATGGATTGACGGTTGGCTAACTGCGTGTTTTCCCTACTGCTGAGTTGCTGAAGAAAGAAAGGACGTTTATCTCACATATCTTGCCTGCCTGCCTGCCTGCCGTGCAGATTCTGCTAGGGTGTATCCCTAACAGGAGCCAGGACCGGCATCAAGGCAACCTAAGAGCTATGAGGATGAAGAGGGAATGGAACTAGCAGAGAGAGAGAGAAAGAGAGAGAGGGGGAGAGAGAGGAGGAGAGAGAGACAGGGTTAGGCTTAGGGGAGACAGAGGCGGAGTCTGGGCTGTCCATCAGCTCTCAGATGGAGAGTCAACAGCCCCCAGGTCTGGAGTTGGCTGATGAAGAAGAGGAGGAACACCTGGGTCCAGTGCCTGATGCATAGATGTACAGAAGGCAGAGGAGAGGAGAGCAGTGGAAATCCATGGGCTGGTCCTTGGGAAGAAAGAGCCACTGCTGCTAGCGAAGCTCCACCATAGCTCTGGGGATAAAAGGCAGTAGGTGGAGATGAATAAATGTGGCAGATAACTATTCATCTGATGATCAGATGGACTTGTTGGCCTGGTGCTCCTAATAAAGAAATCTTCACTTCAGAGGGTTTGTTGTGTTTGGAGAGCTGGGTCAGAACAGAAATACTTTGATTTCTTAGTCTGGTTCCTCTTCTTCTTTCTTCCAGTATGAGAAGACGGTCACTTTGGAGATCTTTTCAGTCATTCTGGCCCAACTGCTGGGTTTCAGCCTGGGGATGGAATATGAAGACGGCAAAGAGTGCAAATGCCCTGGACACATCTGTATAATGAACACGAACGCCATGCAAGTATTCCTATTAGGTTCATTTCTGCCCTTCGTAGCCAGGGCAGAGCTGAGAAGCCATAGGGATGGGTATTGCTCAATGGGCTTTTCTCAGGAATGAATGAGCTGGAAGGGACCTTGGAGATCTTCTAGTCCAGCCCTTGGCTCAAGCAGGAGACCCTATACCATCTCAGATAAGGGGTTGTCTAGACTCTTCTTAAAAACCTCCATGATTTCTGGTGGCCAGCTGTTCCACTGGTTAATTGTCCTCACTGTTAGGGAGTTTCTCCTTAATTCCAGGTTGCTTCTCTCTCCTGGATTAGTTTCCATCCATCGTTTCTTGTCTTTCCTTCAGGTGCTTTAGAGAATAATTTGACTCCCTCTTTTTTTGGACAGCCCCTCAAATATTGGAATACTGCTATCACGTCACCCCTAATTCTTCTTTTCTTTAGACTAGCCGGGCCCAGAACCTGCAGCCATTCTTCGTATGGTTTAGTCTCCAGCCCCCAATTATTATCATAGTGGTGACTGAGTACTGTGTCCAGACTGTTGATTAGTTTCTGACAGGATAGTGACTGGAAGGATTTATATTCCTTGCAGACAGCTGGTCATTTGCAACCTTTTAGAGGGTCGTTGAAGTACTTGAAGGTTTACTCAGGTGGCTCTGAGGATACGGATAAACCTCCAAGTGGCCTCAACGACCCTCTAAAAGGATGCAAATGACCAGCTTTTCTGCAAGGAGTATAAATCCTTCCATTTCCCCACCATCCAGTCAGAGCTGAAGAAGCTTCTTGGGTGAGAAGTGAAACATCCTCAAAATAAAAAACCAAGAAAGTCCAGTTGGGTCCTGAAAAAAAAAAAAACACCTTCCATGACCTGGATGACTAAGAATCTCTACAGACCTATAGCTGGGATACATATATATTGGAAAGATATGGGAATGTCACTTGTTCTTTCGCCTTTTTGCCTTTTTTTTTTTCCAGTAATTCGAATGGAATTAAAAAATTCAGCAGCTGTAGCATTGTCGACTTCCAAAATTTCATTAAGTTCCGGAGTGCCCCTTGCCTTTCTAACCGGCCAAATTTGAAGCTCTACTCTCGGAAGGATCTGCCCCAAGGCAAACCGGCTTGTGGGAATGGCATTTTGGAACCCGGAGAGAAGTGCGATTGTGGGAGCATTGAGGTGAGTCCCTGAGAACCCTTTTCATACGTGTTGTTCGAAATAGGTATGCCGTCCTCTTTCAGGGGCTCCAGGTGGGTTTTCCATGCTCACTGACCTTGGAACAATAGTTGGGTCTCCCTGTTTGCAAATGAACTGTCTTTACTAAGAAATAGTTTTTTTTTCCTGTTTGCTCATTTCACCATTTTTTCTCTTGTTGACTTCTTTCCTCCTCCTCCTCCTCCCACGTAACCCTCTCCCACCTCCTCCTCCTCCTTCCCCCTCTTCCTCCTTCCCCATCCT